CAAACAGAATTTTAAAATGTATTCAGTTTTTTCATCAGAATATAAATTTGTGGGCAGAAATGTCTTAGAAAGAAGTATGATATAGTACCAAAAAAAGTACAAAAGTATTAATAAAAAAAAAACATAATTTGGTATTTTGGCCAGAATTAATTTTGGCATGTGTTATTTACTTCAAACTTTGTGAAAGGATTTACCATTATGGCTAGATTTCTAATCCAGATGACCAACTGACATTTTGCTGTTGACAAATTCTCTTCCAGAATAACATGTACATCTGGTACATGCTTTGACCAATTCACTCACAAACTTTATTTCTAGATTGGTCATCATAGCACACATACAATAATGTTGTCATCTGATTAAATATGGCTGACTGCTGACTGTTTCAGTCACAGGTATTTTGACAAGTCTCAAACCTTAGGCATATGATTTTTGTCAAATTTGGTGGAAGAGGTACGGTAACTATTACTAGAGGTAATATTGCAGGTCAGGTGATTTTGGAAGTCTACTCAAGAGAGCTGAATTGATCCATCTGTCGGCTCACTCAAGTACTGCAACATAATAGGCTTTTTGCATATGTGTAATTTATGAAACTGTAAAATGGCATTTGTAAAAACTATGCCAAAGATTAGAAACTAAATTGTCCTTGAAAATGTCTAGTTTGAGATCAAACACAAATAAAGTATGTGCTTTGGTCATTTTATGGGTCACAGTGATTATGAATAGAAACCTTTATACTAATAATTTGTTCTATTCTGTTGACATTTGTTTTCTTGTTATAAACGTGATATTATTCATTGTCACATGGACAACATGTGTATCTCAATATAGTGAAAATACCGTGAGATACAGGTTTTCTCTGTTGTTATACTGTAGAATACTTTATTTTTACTTGGAATTAATTTTCACTATTTTCGCTGAAGGAATGTTTCAGTGAAAATAAAATCCAGCGAATATATCTTTTTCCCCATATTTTACATTCAACTCATCAAAATTTGGTGAAAATAAGTTCCATACGTAACGCCTAAAATGTCTTTTCAGCGAAAATTAATTCCAGCTAAAATAAAGTATTTTACAGTATTCACACACCAAACCTACTTTTATTACTCACTTTATAACAAAGAACATAATTTTATGTGTTTATAGTCATCTTTAACATTACCAGTAAGTACTCAACAGGGACTGTGCATTGCAAAGTGCTTGTTCAATTGCATTTTCTTACATTTTTGTAAGACAACTTGTCTCAAGAGAGTAAAAAAACGTGCCACAAAAATAGAAATCACAAAGCAATGTCTGGTGTGAACAATTTTCTCAAATTGTTTTGTTGTTGTATTGCTAATTCTAATGCTCAATGTTCAACTGATGTAATTTGAATTTTTTTACAGACTTGAACATGAGAAACTACACGCAAAACACAAAGGCCATGAGGCAATGCATGCCGAGATGGTGCTTATCCTTATTGCTACTCTCTTAGTGGCTCAGATTTTACTTGTGCAATGGAAACAGAGACATTTCAAGTCTTATACTGTGAGTATTTTTACCGTATAATAAAGAAAGATATTATTTTGACATGAAAATTGTTTACATTCATTTCTAAGGTCTTGTGACTTGTACAATCATCTTGATCATCCTTAAAATCCACAAGTTGTCACATTTACGATATGATTCTCTTGCAATGCATTTGTATGTAAAATGCATTTCTTGGGCCAAAAAGGAAAATATTAATGTTTCTGGATATTATGCATGTTAGAAAACTGTGTAATTTAGAAAAAGATTGTACTGAAAAATCTAAATAATAGTTGTATTCACTGGTATTAAAATAAAAATACAAAAAAAACACACACTGATCAATTTTGGAAAACTAAATTTGCATACGGTGCTTCGGCTGCATTGCTTTTACACATCATCGCCTAAAACTACCTTAGACTATTCGTTACGGTGCTATCACCCACACAAGACTCCAGCTCAGTGGCGGATCCTATGGGGTGAGAATACCGCCAAAATTAGATTGGTGTCATTATTTGGACATTGTTCAGTTGTTTGGTCTTTATTTGGAAACTAGTTTGGTTATTATTTGGTCATTATTCGGTTATTTGGTCTTTATTTAAACTTTATTTTGCGCATATTCCATTATTGTGTTATTGCTGCAGCATCGTATTGCTATTGTTTCATTATTTCAACTTTATTTCTTAATTATTATCATTATTGTGTAATTGCTACAATATTATTTTGTCATTGTTTCATTATTATTTCATTATTTCGTTATTTAGACATTATCTTGACATTCAATTGTCATAAGATTTGGTTATTTTCACGTCCAAATGTCTTGACATTCGGTTCGCTTGACTTGCGATTACCTTAACAATCGGTTCTCTTGACTTGTGATTAGGCCACACTGACTTAATTTTATGGATGACATCCACGTGCGCATTAGTGTTCGCCTGTTCTCAAAAAAAAAAAAAATCTCCGACGACAAGTCTCCACAGATCGGTTTTCTGTCCGAAACTTGCCGACTCACATTGTCACAAAGCGGCTCGTCGTAAAACTCTTTTTGGACTATCGAAAAACGTGCCAATTTTGCCGTAAATGATCTTCTGCACATGCGTATTGCATTGCCGGGAATACGTGAGCATAAAAGTTCAGAGGAAAAACTGAGGGATTGTTGTAGACTGGTACGCAATTGACGTCGGCCAGGGAGATGTGACGTTTACACAGCTATACGAGAGATTGGTTAAAGCTAACCCCTACTGTGTAGAGAGGAGCAAGCAAGGACATTTCTGTATCATTGCAATGTTTCGTTAGTTATTGTCATAAAGTAGTGATATGTACATTCCACCTTGACTGTAGGGTACTTACATAAAAAAATATCGCAGGGTGGGCAAAAACAGCCTTTAGGGCAGGGTATAATGAAAAAACGCATTGGGGGGAAATAACAGCGAAAATGAATTCCAGCTAAAATAAAGTATTTTACTCTATATCAATTAGTCTTTTTGAGCCCGAAATAAGATACTAGTAGTTCAAGTTGTCCATAAAGTACTCCTAACCCTAAGTCATAACATCTGAGACTACTATAGTAACATTGATATGCGTGCATCAGTGTTTTTTTATTTCATTCAAAAGATTTAGTGACACTGAAAAAATATGCAGAATTAATTTTTCCTTGTTTATACTCCACACAAAGAGTAATTTGTCAGTCGTGGCGAGTATGTGTGACTGTTTATTACTTCTGTGTGAATATAATAAAATTATGTAATTTTTGGTACGGTATTTTGGGAAGATATGGTGGCCCTGAAAAGGACCGTTTAGTTTTGTTAGAAAACGATATGAATTTACTCCAATCTATGACCCGCGTATGTGTGTGTGTGTGTGTGTGGGGAAACGGACACGTCGTGAAAATTACAACTCAACCTCGATTTATTCTTCAATAGCATACATACACAGTGGCAGCGGCAGCGACAGCCCCACAAAGAAAATGTTGGGGGCGTCACCTCTCCAAAACCAAATTTTCCCCTCAAAATGCAGGAAATAGCGTTTTAGAGGGTCCAGATTTCAAATTTTTGCATGCCCTCGGGCCGGACCCCTTAGAGGTTGTAAGCAGATCTCGCCCTCGATGCAAAATTTCGTGCCGCCCCCTCTGAATTACAGATGTGAAAATAACGAGTGCCAAAAAACATACAGCGTTGCCATAGATCTCGTCGAGTAACAACTTTTAGGGCGGAGGCGTTTTCATTGACCCAATAGAAATACGGTGTTTACTCCGATGTTCGAACAAATATTGGCTAAATTAATGATCGGTGTGCTTACGAGTAGTTTCCTATAGGATTACGTGCATAAAATGAAATATGTAGAAAACATATGGTTATGAAATGATGATTCTAAGAAGTATACTGTCAATAAATGTGATATGAATAAACACAAACATACTTTATTCTATAAACCGTCAAAGGTTATATATAAAGATCGATAAAACGAATGAATCCCGCCCACACATACTGATATTTCTGGAAATTACGTAAATACATTGTGTGGTGATACTGAGCAGCAAATGTTTTTAACTGCAGTTTCATCTATCGAGAACCTTGTGCAGCAAGCGAAATTTCACAGTTACAACTGCAACCCAGTTTATTTAGTCCATGGAGCAACTTATGAAAACCCGTTGCAACCGGGGGCATGCATTTCGATGGAATTCTGCTCCCCATCCACTAAATAGCATATTTCTAGTCAATAACAGAATTGGGTTTTGTCAACCGTCGGAATAGGCTATTTTGGCCAGTAATATATGGGGAATTTGATGGAGGAGACATTCACAGCAATCAAATCAAAACAAAATTGAAACTGTGAAACTGCTTTTCGAGAGGAAGTCGACATTTACGAACACCTCGAAGACAGCATAATTATGATTACTGCAGATGCAAGGCATGGCTAGCGAAAAACTCTCGTGACACTGACGTGATTGATATTGGCAATGAAACCCACAAATTCATTGTCAATGCAGTTGTTACAAACGAAGACATTCGATTTCGTAGCGCCATGAAATGAATGGCGCGCTACAAATCAGCCGTACAAATATATTGGCATCTTGACAATAATGAAGTGAACATAAAAAATCACACCCATAACAGGAATATGTCTGTCAATAAGTACCTGAGATAAGAGAGGCCGGGGAATGAGAATCAGAATGATACATGGTTCAACTTTTACTAAAAAAAAAGAACCGTGATGGCACTACCAAGTCCGCTGAAAGGCCGGTTATTGACCGTGTCAGCCGTGTCACGATCAACTGTGTAATAATTCCTCCTCACTTCAGTCATCACATTTGGAGTAATATTCTCTAACCAAGTTTGTGGTATTTGATATTGCGTCACGACAGGCTCTGACAACCTCAGTCATTTCCCTGGGTGTTGGTGAAACGACCATTATTTAGAAATTCTCGCTAACTTTTACAAAGGCCGCATTGCCATCTTGAGCAATGTTTTATCGAAGGCGGCCCAGGACTATGGATTGAATACTACATGTATAGCGGGGTCAGCTAATGTAGGTCAGGTAATCGAATGTTGAGGTAATGGCAAGTCAAGCAAACCGAATGTTGAGGTAATCGCAAGTCAAGCGAACCAAATGTCAAGACATTTGGACGTGAAAATAACCGAATCTTATGACAATTGAATGTCAAGATAATGTCTAAATAATGACACAATTGTAACATAATGAAACAATGACAAAATAATATTGTAGCAATTACACAATAATGAAATAATCAAAAAATAATTGAAATAATGAAACAATAGCAATACGATGCTGCAGTAATAACACAATAATGGAATAAGCGCAAAATAAAGTTTAAATAAAGACCAAATAACCGAATAATGACCAAATAATAACCAAACAAGTTTCCAAATAAAGACCAAACAACTAAACAATGTTCAAATAATGACACCAATCTAATTTTGGCGGTATTCTCACCTCATAGGATCCAGCAAAATGTATTGGGGAGGTCAAAGCTTTGCTTAAAATTTACGAAGCGTAAATCACAGAGAAGCTATGTGTAATCCACATGCATTTTCATGTGTTTGGGGGGGGGGGGTATGGCCCTCCTGGCCCCTCTTTAGATCCGCCACTGCTCCAGCTTGAGTCAATTTCACTTCCCCACTTTGTTTGAATATTCATATGATATTGTGCACTATTAACCTTGATAACCAATTGCATTCCACTGCAAACATTGGTCAATAAAACATATAACAGAGTAAATTACCGGTAATATACTATGTACATGTATGGAAGACTTCGAGTAAATTCAACATTTTATGTTTTCGTTTGAAATAGAAATGTTCTACTATATTAACTTTCATAAGTAATAAGTGTTTTACTTCCCTTACTACACAGGCTTTCGTAACTAAATAAATATAATGGTTGATGTTTGTATTAAAATTGATAAAACAAGTGATTGTTGTCAAAGTGGTGCAGCATTCTCAGTTGTGAATAATAGTAATTCATAATTAATGCCAACTGAAAAGTTTATTTAAAAAAAAATATTGTAGAGTGACATTTCTGGTGATTATCAAAAACCATAGTCATTTAATTGCATAAATTAGCATAAG